GAGATCTCGTTTGCGAGACCGGAGAAGTATGATGCGAAGTGTGGGGATGTTGTGTTGGGGTCTTTGCAGGGGATGTCATAGGAGGTATTCAGGTGGAGGCTACATGACACAACCTTCGAATCTTCAGCCTGACCGGGTCGCCTATACAGTATTCATTGTATCGTTGGGGTCACTACTGAGCCAGAAAACAGCAACACTGGAGCGGAGCAGCTCGTCGACTGACAGCTATCATGTACCGAATAGATGAGCGAGGAGGATACGGCAATCCTCGGAGTCTTCGAGTGCATGCGCGAATGTAGATATAGTATTCAAAGCCTGACATAGAGTCAGCGAATGACGGCTACAATGGCATCATCGTCAGCATGCTCTTATTCGTAACCAGACTCAAGCAAGAAGTCCAAAAGTTACCTAATCAGCTGTCAGCGTTGCCAAGCCACCGTTCTAAGGAAGAGGGTCGAGCACCCTAGTCTGGCATTGTGCTTGATGGCCGAGCAATTTATGGTGGTAACGGAGACGTTACGCACCGGTGCGCAGTGTTAGAGTACCACTACAGCCGTGCCTTTAGCGCTCTAACATCCAACTTCTTCCAAGCCAAATACGCTACCAAAGCCACGACACTTATCCGCCCAACAAGCGCCGTAGCCACAGCCCTCCTGACAAGCGGATAGTAGCCCTCTAACATCGAATTGACTGCGGCGCCTCTCGCCATCATCTTCGCTCTCCCGCTTTGTCCCCACCCTCTTCCTACCCCCAAGCCAGCTATCCCGACCTCGCCCGGCTTCTCTTCCTCCAAAGACCCAAGCGCTTCACTGCCAATGCCAGGGAAGTCTTGTGTAGGCAGCCCCGTCGTACCTTGGTTGGTTGTCGTCGTTACGCTCGACGTAGCTGTGCTCATTTCCAAAGACTTCTGCTTCCTGAATCGGTACGACATGGCCCACATGACAAACCTGACGTCCCAGTTGGTAAACGTAGGATATGTCCATAGTTCTAGCGCGTTGTGTGGTGGCATGTGTTCTAGGAAGTCGCTCACGACGCCTAATGTCAGACCCCACAGCAATAATGGAGGCTTACGGTCCCTGGATCTACCCTCGGGACCAGCCAATGCTTCTCTGATGGTATTTGTGACACTCTGAGGTGCTGCTTCGACGGGTATGAAATCGGGTATGGTTGCGCAATGTGTCGAGTTGGCTGGCACGAGTTGTATGGCAGCGAACATCATCTTGCTCAGCATAGCTTGTAGGAACCAGCGCTTGATGCCCAATTCAGACTTTGCCAGGCGCGCTGAGACATCGGCATATTCGTGTGTACGGAGGGCTGGGGAGAGAAGGGCGCGGATGGGTACCCAATGCGAGGAGGCGACTTCGGTGGGCTGCAGGCGTTGCTGTGGGTAGGCGGGAGAGGTCAGGAGATAGATGTACGGGCATAGTACCATGAGTCTGCTTGTGGTCAGCTAAAGTTCGGGAGATCGTAGTGTCCACGGATTGAGTCTAAGGTATAGAGCTGCTGAGTGTGACGACGTACGGTACCTTGCCCCAGCTCGTCGTGACAATCCGCTGCGGTAGATTGCCGACCGCGATCGCATTGGCAGGGCTCAGATCAATGCCAACCTCTTCGAGCGCTTCTCTAGCTGCTGCTGCCTGGTCATCCTCGTCCTCTGGATCCCTCTTTCCACCTGGCAACGCAACATGTCCGTTCCACTTATCACCGATTCGTGCGGCTCGCTTTATGAAGAGTAGCTCGGGGTCTCCGTGCTTCACCCATTCTTGCGAGAAGAAGGCGCTTAGTGACGACTCAAAGTCGAATTCGGAATGCGGCTGTGCGACAGATGATCGTCTGCGTCGAGGGGGCAAAGGACTGTCGGAGTTGTCAGGCCAATGCGAGTAGTTCGGCTGTATGCGCAGTATGAGGGCTACAGAAGCGCGTTTAGGTAGGTTTGGCGGACATGCGACATCGGGATAGGGGTTCGCGTTGAGCTCTAGTAGGATAGACTGGAGATGACTGATGAGGTCCTCGGCACTACTATGCGTTGTCATGATGTCTACGGGACCGCAATGCGTTGGAAGCGGAAGTACGCGTTCGAAGATGGATGGGTCGGTAGGCCCACGGCACGTTGGCGAGGGTGGTGACCTGTCGCGGGTACTGATGTGCATACCAAGTGACACAAAAAAGAAACGCGCACCGCGATGAGATCTCAACGGCGGAGGACGTGATTCTTGAGAGGTTCAGCGATTGATATATGCGTATCGCAACGGAGAACCGAGGCGCGATAATTGACATGGCCATGGCGATTGGCTCATAGCTCAACACTGCGTAGAGGAGCTGACGAGCGGTGAGTGGACGCCATGATCGGTACAGAACATGAATCTGGCGAGATGCGCAATGCACAGCGGGAGCTACGTGTATGTCCACAGGATACGAGCCGTAGTGATCTGGAGTTTGCGTCTCGCAGTCGCGTAGCGGAGACGAGCTCTGGCCAATCGGGCTAAAGCCATGGAGGGGCAGGCAAATGAGGTCACTTGTGAGCCCCGCGACGCCAAAAAAACTCCACAGTGTGTCGTGCGCCATTGTTTTGTACCCCAGATCTCTGCTTCAATTGACTGTCTCTCTCCAATTGACAACTGAACATTCAAATCATAGTCAACATGGGAGGCCAAAAGACAGGTAAACGCACGCTCCCAGTACCCATGGATTACTCCTAACTCTTTGCGACAGCGATTCTGTCAGTTTATGACAAGACCGGTCTTCTTGACTTGGCCAAGGGACTGCACGAATGCGGTGTCCGACTGCTGGCCTCGGGCGGCACGGCCAAGATGATCCGCCAGGCCAACTTCCCCGTAGAAGATGTCTCTGCCATCACCAAGGCGCCTGAGATGCTCGGTGGACGCGTCAAGACGCTCCACCCCGCCGTACACGGAGGTATTCTCGCGCGCAACCTCGACTCGGACGACTCAGACCTCTCGGCGAACAGCATCGACAAGATCGACTTTGTCGTATGCAACCTGTACCCCTTCTCCGAGACCGTCGCGCGCATCAACGTTACCATCCCAGAGGCCGTCGAGGAGATCGACATCGGAGGTGTTACTCTACTCAGGGCTGCCGCGAAGAACCACTCACGCGTCACCATCATCAGCGACCCCAACGATTACCATGACCTCCTTACCGAACTCAAGAAGGACGGCGAGGTCTCAGAGAACAGCAGGCAGCGCTACGCGTTGAAGGCCTTCGAGCAGACCTCATCATACGACACCGCCATCTCCGAGTTCTTCAGGAAGAAGTACGCAGGCGACGGCGACCAGTTCCTCACCCTCCGATACGGCGCAAACCCCCACCAAAAGCCCGCGACGGTCTCGATGCCGGAAAAGTCTCTGCCCTTCAAGGTGCTCTGCGGCTCTCCAGGATACATCAACCTGCTCGATGCGCTCAACGCATGGCCTCTGGTGCAGGAGCTGACCAAGGCGCTCAACTACCCAGCGGCAGCCAGCTTCAAGCACGTTTCGCCTGCGGGTGCGGCTATCGGAGTCCCCCTCAGTGAGGTGGAGCGCAAGGTATACATGGTCGACGACATTGAGGGCATCGAGAAGTCGGGTTTGGCACAGGCCTACGCTAGGGCGCGTGGTGCTGACAGGATGTCAAGTTTCGGCGACATGATTGCCCTGTCCGCTGAGGTCGATGTCCAGACTGCGAAGATCATCAGCCGCGAGGTCTCCGACGGTGTCATTGCACCCGGCTACACCGACGAAGCTCTGGAGATCCTCAAGAAGAAGAAGGGTGGAAAGTACCTGGTTCTTCAAATGGACCCTGACTACGTCCCAGGCCCCGAGGAGACCAGGACCGTATTCGGCATCACGCTCAAGCAGCACCGCAACGACGCCAAGATCGTTCCTGCCGATACTTTCAACACCGTCATTGTGCCAAAGAACTCTGGAGCTCTTCCAGAGCCTGCCCAGCGCGACTTGACTGTCGCCACCATTGCGCTCAAGTACACCCAGTCCAACAGTGTTTGCTACGCGCTCAATGGCCAGATCATTGGTCTCGGAGCTGGTCAGCAATGTAAGTTCGACATACCCTATGGCGTGAGCAACCACTAATTCCTGTACAGCACGCATTCACTGCACTCGCCTGGCTGGTGACAAAGCCGACAACTGGTGGATGCGTTTCCACTCAAAGACGTTGAACCTCAAGTTCAAGAAGGGAACTAAGCGCCCTTCAAAATCCAACGCCATCGACCTCCTGTGCTCTGGTCTCGTCCCCGAGTCAGGCATTGAGCGCGACGATTTCGAGGCCAACTTCGAAGAGGTACCCCAGCCATTCACCGCCGATGAGCGCAAAGAGTGGCTCTCCAAGATGGAGAGCGTTGCCGTCAGCTCCGATGCCTTCTTCCCCTTCATCGACAACGTCTTCAGGGCGCACCGAAGTGGTGCCAAGTACATTGCTGCGCCTACAGGAAGCCAGAACGATGGTGCTGTGTTCGAGACGGCTGAGAAGTTGGGTATCACCTTTGTTGAACAGCATATCCGGTTGTTCCACCACTAAGGAATTGGTGTGAGAGACGCGACGATACTTGCTGATGAATTTAACGTGCATTGAACTGGCCAGACGACCGGTCTGAATGATATGAGATTACGATACCTTCAAAATGTGGATATTTCAACCTTCCAACGTGATCAGTCGCTTCTATTCAAGTGACCAGCTTGGCCTATCCCTGGCGTCGGAAGGCTGGCCTTTTGGCGCGTTCAATGCGTGATGTGAAAGTGAGCTCGATACAGCTGATCAAACCACCATCGCCGTGCGAAGCCACATGACGCTTGTGTATCTAGTCAAATCCGTGCTGTGCAACGTAAGATAGGCTGATAGCACCGTAACTAGAGCCTCATTGCAAGGCCTTAGTGATGACCACTTCTTATGCAAGACGACGGTATAAGCGACGTGTCGTAACTCGTCATGATAGGATGTGAACGGTTGCAGCGAGCAACAGCACCTGCTTCTGCCAGATAGTGATCTCATCTGACCCTGCCTACACCCGTTATCTTATCCTCCACCATCTTCATCAAAACATCCTTATCCTTAACAGCCTTCACCCTCTCCCCCTCCAGATCCTCCAACTGCCTCTCCAGCTCCTTCATCCTATCCACCTGCTCTCTTTCACTCCAATTCAAACCCGGTAGATGCGCAATCAACCTCTCAATCTGCTGCTCCTTCAAGGTAATATCCTGTGCCATTTCTTTCAGATCGGCTTGAAACTGCTCTGGAGAGGGTTTAGGTGGCGCTGCGATTGGTTGTTGTGAGGGGTCTTGCGTCGAGCCTTGTGTGTTTTCGGCGGCGTTGCGAGCTTCCAGTTGGGCAAAGGTTTCGAGGGGCTGTTGGCCTTCGGGGACGCTTGGTGGGGCGTTTTCGCGGATTTGACGGAGAGCGGCGGACATTTGGTTTAGGAGCTGGGGTTGTTAGGAGGAGGGTTGGTGGGTTGGTTGGAGGGCGGTACCATGTCCAGTTCATCTTGGATTTGGGTGAGGATGTCGCCCATGGTGGCAGATGGATATGTTGAATGCGTGAAGGTTTCTAACTGTGAAAGAATAGATATGAAATCGGGGTTCAAGCCGCGAGTTTGGCGTGCTTGATCTGAATGTGCATGCTACAGGGAATCGCGTCCGAGTTGTAGAATGCGCCGGCTGAGCTAGCCTAGCGCGTCACCGCCATATTCAGGGCTCAAAATATACGCGAATGCTCTTTCCTCCAATTCACCCCACTCGACGCCCGGCACCCACTTTCATTCTTCGTCGCGTCAATCCTCGTGTAAATATGTCACATTCCAAGCGCTATCTCAGGATACCGTGATGCGACCTTCCCTCCGCCCACTATGGCTCCCACAAACCTCGTTCCTCGCACGGCTCCCCCGAACTACTCCGCACCGCGTCCCACGCCGAATCGCGACCACTTCAGCGCGCAATGCTGCGCCAATTGATCTACCCAAACTGAGACTTTCGCCCGGCTCTCTGTATCACGATTCGCTTACTACGTTCCTCGAATATGCGAAGGAAACAAATCTGAATTTGACCTCAACTCTCGCTATTGGTACTATCTATGAGTACATGTCGGCGCAGGCGCTCATGCGCCTAGGCTTCTCTCTCTTACGTATAGGTCGTATGGGGGATGCGGGCATAGACTTGATTGGACACTGGGTGCTAGGGCCTCTCAGAGAACCCATGCCCGTCATCGTACAATGCAAGGCAAGGAGTAATAGTGTCAACCCGAAACATATCCGCGAACTCGAAGGATCCTTTCAGGGTGTACCACCGCATTGGCGCAACAAGGATGTCTTGGGGCTATTGGTAACAACGAAAAAGGCTACGACGGGGGTGATGAAAGCTATAGCGAACAGTTCGTGCCCTATGGGCTTCATACTCATATCGCGGGAGGGATTAGTGGAGCAATTTGTTTGGAACCGGGCGGCAACTGAGAGAGGGTTGCAAGGAGTAAGTGTCACGGTGAGACATACCCCGCGGGCTTTACTGGAAGATCCCGAAGAGGGATTAGAAGAGGACACGAAGGTATCAAAGAAGAGTCAGGACAAGTTCAAAACTTCGGGAACGATGAAAGACATACAATTGACCTGGATGGGATCGCCCATCTTTCCAGACAGGGACAACCTCGACCAGGAAACCCTCAAGCTCATGCGCCAGATCCCAGCCAACATTGTGCATGTACCCGCCCCTGTCGTTGAAGTGGAAGAGCCACCCCAAGGGCATTCCAAGGGTTCTGTAAAGGACAAGAAGAAGGCCACTCCAGTCGTTGCGCCCAAGCTCGGTCGGCCCTTGAAAAAGTGGTCCGAGAAAGTGCCTCATCCACGCGGAGGCCAAATCTCAGGCACCTTAAAGAAGCCTACCGAAGGTCATACCCTGGGAAGACCTCCAGGATCGAAGACTAAGCGTAGAGCGGGCGATGAGCCTGCGGTGGTAGAAAAGCCACCAAGGCCACCGAAGGACCCTCACCGTCATAAAAAGCTGAGGCAGCAGATACCTACCTGCCGTCCACGATTGGGAAGACCCCCTGGATCGAAGAACAAACCCAAGGTACCTGTTGATACTGGCTGAGATGGGAAGACTTGCATTCTTTTTGTAGAATGCGGTCTATCGAATTCTCATTTGTCCTACCAGGGACACCCACACAAGCGCCGACTATGAGCGTCTTATTCCGTGCACGTACGATTTCAGTCACAGCTACGGGCTGTGCATGTAGCCACGCGGAGCTGAGCGGGGCAATCGACAATGGCGCATGAACGAGGCGGGCGAGGCAGGGTACACAGTCCGGCCAAACATGAGCATGATATGACGAACATGGGAATTGCTCACACCTGCACTTTGTAGAAGATCATTGAGTAAAGATCATCCTAGTCATGTGGACAATGCGGAGACATGGGTTTCCGGCTACGCTCCCAAAATTCCCATATCTCACCACATGGCCATTTCAGGAGCAGAACATGGATCGAGGAAACAAACAAAATACTTCATTAAGGTCAAAACGTGGGATGCTGTTCGTACTCAACTCGCGACACGTGGGCGGACGCGAAACCATACATAGTACTAGATAATAATACAATCCTAACACATGTTGTACAAAGACAAACTAAAGTATGCCGTGACCTAATTGTCTACTGTGCTATCAGTAGTCAAATCGATCTGGCAGCACGAGAGGAGCAACAAGTGTCCATGTGTAAATGCCGTAGCACACCCATGCGCTGATGATTTTTGCCCAACTGGCCCAGTACGTCCGGCCGACAGGAACGAAGCTACCGGATACATCCTTCTCGTCGAAGTTTGTCGTGAGGAGAGTGGCGACCCATGTTGTGCTGAGGAAGAAGATGATGTGGAAGAGGGTGTAGTTGTACTGCGTTGCGTTGCGCTCGTCATCGCGCGGGTTCTTCTTGCTGGAGGGCTCGTCGTCCTCGTCCTCGCTGTCGGAGTCGTCGAGCGCAGACGCGGGGAGGGAGCCAGACTCTACAGCGGCGCGTAGGGCAGCTTGGCGCATGTCGCGACGGGACTCGGGCTGCTGTGTGACAAGACCATGCTCGTAGTCTTCGGCGCCAACCTGTGCGTAGCCGTTTCCGTGAGGGTTGCCTTGGGCGCCGAGAGCGAGACCGTATGTTGCTGCGCGGGTGGTGGTGTAGGCAACTGTGACGAATGTGACAATCGCGCCGATGATGATGGTCGCCTTACGGGTTCCACGGGCGCGAATGAGGGGGTTGCATTGATGGTCGTCGGGTTCCATGCCTACGGCAGACAAGGTGAGGTAGGTGCAGTAGACAGCTACGATGGCGGATTGGGCGAGACCAGCTCGGGGATTTACGTCCTGTACTGCGGGGTGGATCGAGGCGACGGACGAAATGAGGAGCAGAATCAAGTTGATCTGTCGATGTTAGTTGATTTTGGCATATGTCCAGAAGTCAACTTACGGTAATGGCTGCCTGGTTCATGCCGCATCCACTCTTTGCAAAGAAGATGTACATGACAATGGTCATGGCGATTGACGCTAGGTACATGGACATGGCACTACCCACAAGCATGCCTGTCCAGACGCGCGACTCGGTGGTTTCAATCTTCTCCTGGCAGTACTCGGCCCAGTTGTGCGCCAGATCCACGAGCAGGATGAGACCGATGAGAAGGAACAGACACGCGCCAACCATGGCGAAGTAGTTGCCCCAGACGATGAAGAACGAGTTCGGGATGAAGAAGGTCAGGACAATCATGCCGATCCAGCCCATGATCTTGGGAGCCCAGAAGCCGTTCTGTATGGTCGCGCGACCGTCCTTGGAAGACCGTACTCCGATGAGCATAAGCGCCATGAGGACGTGGAAGAAACCGAGGGCAAAGTTGATGCGCTGCACCGCAACGTATCCGTAGCATTGTTCGCCGTGGCACTTGATGTCGACGTAGTCCAGAGTGAGGTGGGCAAGCTTCTTCATGGCCCAGTCGGTGAGCATGATCCATGAGACAATCGAGTTGATGAGGAGGATGAGCGCGTATGCGATACGAGTGGCGATGCTGCGCGCAGTCAGTATACGATGAACATATCTCCCAGGCTCGTAGTCCTACCTGTTACCGCATTTCCCTCCGCAAGAGCCCATGACGGCGCTGCATGTCGCGGCGCCACAGCAGGAGGCGGCAACGCTCCAAACCTGGCCATGTTAGCGGCGCGCAGTCGCGACGGAGCGTGTCAACATACGGTGCCCATGGCGGGCATAGCCAGGAAGGGGACGGATAGTAATGCACCCATGGTTGAGATGCCGTGAGTCGCCTGGGGGGTGTTGTGGAGAAGCTGGAGGCACGAGGAGGAGGCCGGTGACGTTCCTGCGCATGCGCTTGTGTCGCGGCTCCTGCCGCCAAGTCACGCCTTGGCCATCTTATCTCCGATCAGCTGCAACGGCCATGCTTCACTCAGACTCTCCATTCACTCGACAAACATCGGTCTAGTGTCTTGGGGTTCGCCTGACTTCTTGTTTGCCTCGCGCTATAGACTTCTTTCGTGTCCCTCATTCTTTGCTTGCTTCTTTTGCATATCTTTGCCTACGGTATTAGTCCCTCGGCTTAGCAAGTGCCGATATCAGTTACAGTCCGCGATTGCGCAACTCGATATCTCCCGCACTCGATGATCAGCGCACTGCAATAACACCTCATTCACACTGACCAAAATGGTCGCCGAAGAGCAGCCTCCCACCCACAAGAAGACGCGCATTATATCCGTCGTCGCTGCGACCGCAATCGCGCTTGCTTGTGGTACAAATGTACGTCTCCGTCATACATCTGAAGCGGGATGCTAACAACCCCCAGTATGCCTACTCAGCATGGGCACCGCAGTTCGCCGATAAGCTCCAACTCTCTGCAACCCAGAGCAATGTCGTCGTATGCTGTCCTACGTACCTCCTGAACACGAACGTCGTCTTACAATGATAGGGAACGGCCGCCAACCTGGGCATGTATGCGTCTGGTATACCCATGGGCATTATAACGGACAGGAAGAGCCCGCGACTTGCTGCAATTATCGGCATGTTCGCGCTCTTCATTGGCTACTATCCCATCAAGCTCGGTAGGATAACTCGTACCTGCTCGCCAGAATGTTGTCTGACTGTCGCCAGCGTATGATGGAGGGCCTGGCTACATGAGCGTTGGCCTGATATCCTTGTGTTCCTTTTTCAGCGGTGTGGGCAGCTGTGCTGCCTTCCAGGCTGCTTTGAAGACGGGTAATACCCCCATCAACCTTCGGGAGACTTGTGCTAACACTATCAGCGACGCTCAACTGGCCTACTCATCGTGGGTCAGCCACTGCTTGCCCACTGGCTGCTTTTGGATTGAGCGCCTTCTTCTACACCCTCATCGCAGGCATAGCATTCCCAGGCAATACCTCCGGGCTGCTCATGATGCTTTCTCTTGCGACCTCGCTACTCGTTCTGGTATCGATACCCTTCCTCATCGTCGTCGATCATAAAGCTGGCACCGGCTATGCTGTGCTACCCACCAGCGAGCGTACGCGGCGCAACTCCAATGTCCTCCATAAGACGAGATCCAACGGCTCCAAGTACAAATCATCTGCTCTTCCACAGCAAGAAATCAGTAAGCGATGCTTTCTTTCCACCTCTGTCTTCCCCTTGTCACCTGCCAACCATTTCTAGCAGCCGAAGAAGAACAGGACCGTCCCTCGACCGAGACCTCGTCACTTCTCTCGTCTGGCCCTGGCGACATCATCGACGATGACGACGACGCAGCAAGCAAAAAGTCGGCTCACTCATGTATAGATATCACTGGTTTGGCACTTCTGAACAAGCCCGAATTCTGGCAGTTATGGGTACTCATGGGTCTCCTGTCAGGAGTTGGTTTGATGACGATCAAGTACGTATAGTTGAAACCCCTATCGTGGCCATCACTGACTAGTGCAGCAATATCGGTCATGATGTTCAGGCCCTTTGGAAACATTGGGACGACTCCGTCAAAAACGCCTTCGTCGCTGACCGTCAGTTGTGGCATGTGTCCATAATCTCACTCTGTTCCTTCCTAGGACGTCTGTCCTCTGGCATTGGTTCGGATCTAATTGTCAAACGACTACACCACTCACGCTTTTGGTGCGCTGCCATCTCTGCCACCATCTTTGCTTTGGCTCAAATTGCTGCCATTCGCGTTGAGGATCCCCACTTCCTGTGGGTAGTGTCCGGACTCTCCGGACTCGCGTATGGTGTCCTATTTGGTGTCTTCCCAGCGCTTGTGGTTGATGCGTTTGGTCCAGATGGCTTCGCCGTCAACTGGGGCTTCATGACTCTGGCGCCCGTCGTCAGCGGAAACGTCTTCAACCTCTTTTATGGTGCAGTCTATGACTCCAACTCGGTAGTTGAGCCAGATGGTCAACGTGGGTGTGAGCTGGGTCTCTCGTGTTACCGGACGGCATACTATGTCACTCTCACATCGAGCATATTGGGTATCTTCGCTTGTTTCTGGGGTATTTACGGCGAACATATACGGAAGAGGCGAGAGTTGGAGGAACACGATGGTCATAGAGATGCTTGACTGTAGTTCCTAGTGTCGGCAAAGATAGTATTGAGGTGAAGCTGCACAGTTCCTCATGCCCCTCTGTCTGTTAGTAAACCATGGCATCTAAGGCTATCTACGTCCCCCCCGTTGCATCTGGTTTGATCCGACAAATCCAGTTCAAGATGAGGTTGAAATGGCTTGTTGATGTGTGTAACGTCGTTCCAATCATTGGCCTTCACAGCAATGACGTGCTCTCCGAGGTACGCGTGGTCATATCTTATATAGAAGAAAACTGATCAGTCTCTAAGTGGACGGACTTGAGAGCACAGGTCAGATGCTTGAACTTTCAGGCCTTGAAAACGTTATGCTGAAGGTACGGTGTGTTTTCATCTGCTGATGCTAAGTCGAATGCTTTGCGCCATGATATCCAACCAGTGTGCCATGTTACGAAGAAACGAGGTCCACACGTTGACTGATCGAAGGGAAAGCCAAGTACATGATGGAGCGCGATAGCCAGAAACAAGCCCCCTTTCCAACTCCCAAGCGCAGATGAAATCTCCGCACCGTCGTACCGGGTCGTCGTTGTGTTGGTTGAGACTGCTCGAAGCTGCTGTATTCTGTCGCTGCTCAAGTATGTGCATACGGCCCCTAAGAGGTATCCCTGGTTTTTTGCGCTGATAGTGATCGCCTATCGTTGGTATTGTATAGAGCTGTCGGATATATGAGAGCACTTTCGAACGCTAGCCAACTTGAAGCAGCAGTCCAGCGCATGCATGGCGATAGATCTTGAACGTGACATTTGATCCGATTCATATACCGGACGCGCTTATGATACTGCATGTTGGCATACAGTAGCTGTGGAGAGCGGCACTGCATGGCGCGCTCATGTTCCTCTTTGAAACATTCAAGGATGGATGTTATCCTCAAACCGGGAGGGGAGCTTGTTGACGTAATTCTCCATCGTGGTGCCCTTCATCAGATCCCGGAAACCGTAGAAACTGAACGGTGTACCCCTGAGCCTCCTTTCCCGCTTATCATATTCGATATTGTCGTTCTCCAACAGCTCCAACCTCATCCATTCGTCGACCTCAGGCATATGACCACCCCAATCACAACCAGAACGAACGAACCCACCGTTTGCTCCGATGACGCGATAACTGGGAAGTTCCTTGGTGCCAAAAGCTCGTCTTACACTTTTCAGCGTTGAAAATATGTCGACGTCAATTAGGTGTACTCCAGCATCGCTTGCCCACTTGCATATAGCCGCATATGTAGTGTAGGAGCCCTGGGGAATGAATGTCACCAAGGTCAGTATGAGCTTGTCCTTTGTCGAGAGGTTGTGTGCGGCTGAGATCCGGGCCCGGACCTGTTGCTTCTCCGTACACGAGACGTCTCTCATTTCGGCTTCACGTCGCTTTCTATAGGCCTCGATAGCTGACCTAGCATCTCTCCGGACGTCCCGTAGGCCGTCATTGCTTTCGGACGGTGTTTTCTCCAAATAAGCCTTCGTGTGTGGGTAGAAGTCTACCAATCGAGGTTGAGCCGCAATTCGCCTCAGAAAAGCCCGGTTATGCTCAGTAAGGGTTGAATCATCGCTGACAGGATCGGTGAGCGCGAACGGATCAGGAGGCTTTCCACCGGCCTTCCAAGTAGCTTTCTCCATGAAGTCTTGAAGAGCATCGAACTGGGCGTTGGCGACATAGTTCGTGGGTTGATCAATGGCCATTTGGTCTTGATCTCCAAGATTGGGTGGATCACGGTTTGGGGCATCATCCGAAGTAAGCAGATCATCAAAGCCATTTCCTTGCATCATCGTCCAGCAATGCTTTTCTATCTCTGGCAAGATTGCATTGCGGATGCGTTTCCGCTCGTCGATGAATCCTTTCTGAATCTTGTGTAGGCGCATAATCTGATCTCGATGATAGGCAAGCGCCTTCCGAACGTTTTCGGTCCTAGGGAGCTGGACAAGCCTCTGAACTCGTTTGAGATTGAATTCGATCTTTATCTTGACGCGCTCTTCGCGCTCCATCGTGGTCTCCCTCCTGGTCTCCGGCCTGATCTTCTTCGTGGTTGGCATTGTCGGATGATGTGTTGATGTTGTTGAACGTGACGGCTGGGAGGTGTCTAGAGCGTCTGAACGCGTGAACGCGTCGACGCGTCAGGGATGATCGACAGGCTGTTAGCGTCAGCAGGGTGTATGACTACGAGACCCCGCGTTGTAGCCTCCTCCACCGCGAGCCTTCAATCTTTCCATGTTTACCGCACGTCTCTTCTTTAGGATGTTTCAGATAAACTCACAAAGCGCCGAGCGTTTCCCCGGTTGCTGGAAAGCCAGAAGTCATTCAACTCCGTCCTATGCCATGATCCGTCGTAAGCCCTGCGCCGTCACCAACCATCCTCTATCCGATCACATCTCTTTGCATACCAGTGTTGTGTCGCAGAGAACAAAAGAGACGATTAGCTCTACCGGAGCCTGCTATCGCGAAAGCAGCTGACAGCGTGGGTGCTTACTGGGTATGGATTCGACTATTACGACCCCGCAGCCAGCCTCCGTCCAGATTTCCAATTCCCATGAGCTGTGTTAGATAAGCAATGGTGAAGTCTGCCGTCCCCTTAAGCCCATGTATGTACCTAAAACATTGTCGAAGTTGGAGTCCGTTCACCTTGGCCAAGCCGGCTTGATTGTAGCCACGTAACCGCTCGGCGCTCGGGTATATAGCAGAGACTTTCATCCCAAGTTTCCTTTGGTAGTCATCCAGTTCATACACTCATCATTATCTGATCCGATCAGTCTCTTCAGCTCCAACACTTTTTCTTCTAGTACCTAGCCACTCCTACAATGCTAGATCACATCGGCCTCACCGTCCCAGCGTCGCGATTCGAGGAAGTCACGGCCTGGTACCTGGCCGCGCTTGCACCGCTCGGCTACAGCAAACAGATGGATTTTGGCGGACAGGGTGTTGGCCTAGGCCCAGACAGGTTGAATACCGTTTTCTGGATTTTCGGCAAGGGCGATGCTGAAGCAGCTGCTACACACTTCGCTTTTCGATGCACGGATCGAGATGCGGTCGAGAAGTTCCATCAAGAGGGGGTGAAAGCTGGTGGGAAAGACAATGGGAAGCCGGGCTTGAGACCATATCATCCAAACTACTACGCTGCCTTTGTAATGGATCCTGTTGGGTAAGTGTCTTCACCAGTTGGTGGTTGCTGCATTCGGCTGACAGGTTTAGAAACAATGTAGAAGTCGTGGACCACGATGTGCCACAATAAGTGCGAGCAACAGGAGCATGTATGCCTCAACAGTGTTGATGAGATTGAAAATACGATATAGAGTCCCCAAAGGCTGCGTTGTCTATGCCGGTGCCCAACGTGAGGTGCAGCCGTCTCCATACCGCCTGCCCGTTTGACTGTTGCCAAGACCCGCTTTTGTTGACAGCTCCTTCTGTACAAATCGATCTCTTACCTTCTCAACAACAACATCTTCGCACTTGCATCATGCCAATGATGCCCAAAACAGACCGCCTGCAAGGTCTGCTCGACTTTGCTCGCCAGGCCAATGAGGTCGAGCAACATCGCGTCTCGCTCGAAACTTTCCTCGCTGGCATTCAGCAAGAGAATGAAGACCTCGATGAGGCACAGCTGAAGCAGATTCAGGCAAGCCAACGTATACCAACCCACCTACCTTTGCTAACAGGTCAGCTTACCATCTATCAAACGCTCCTGGGTCTTTTCAATACCAGTAAGTATGACCACGCCATCTACGAGAACCTTACTAAACGTAAACCAGACAATTCGGTCTCAAAGTCCACTCAAATTTCCACAAAAACAGCGTCATGCACGACGCAGACCGACGCGGTGACAGACTCCCTTTGGGATCTATTGCCTAAAGCTCGCGAAGAAGCCTTCCAGCGCGGCCACGATGCTGGAAAAGACGACGGACACATCCAAGGAATCAAGGAAGGCCACAGCGCTGGTATGACAGAAGGTCTTGCTATCGGGCTCAAGCAGGGGCAAGCGGAGGGCTTGAACACAGGGTTGGACCAGAGCAAGGAGGTCGACATGCAACGCGGCATCGAGATAGGAAGAAAACTCGGCTATGCTGATGGTCTCGCTGAGCGCCTGAGACAGACAAAGGAGAAGATGAAGAAGCTGGACGAAGAAGACACCAGCAAGCACATACCACAGGTGGAGGCGACTCGCGAGAAGATCATCGTGAAGCTACCTTCAAGGTTACCCGCAATGGTTCTCAAGGAGGAAAAGGAGGAAGAGGCTAAGCCCAAGCCTAAGCCTATGCCTATGCCCATGATCAACGGTATCGACCCATTTGCGTCGCTTTTGGGTCTGGCGCGCAAGAAGTAAATGGGCGTTTGGAGATAGGAAGGAATGTGTACAAAACGAAGATACCCAATGGAGCCATGCGAAGCACAGTCAGTATATCTTCGATCAGGTTTAAGTTAATGTACTGCTACTTAACATGATACTTTGCAGACCACAACTACTTGACAGCTAAGACTATGGCCCTTCGAATACCTGAGATTCAAAAGCCGGTGTTTGAAGCGTTAAATCAGCAGCGCATCGCAACGAAATCTTCAACGCATACGTGTCGGGCGCAGTGCCAGCAAGTATACGACATTCAGTAGCTATGTCAGCGTGTGGCTAGACCTGATAGGTGACAGCGACAGAGAATATCAACGCTTCGCTTTCGTAGACCCCAGTCACATGTCCATGCAGTCTACAGACCACTTCATTCCACGACCGTTGAGCACTGTAGTTTCCAGAACGTATAAGAGCTCTCTCACACATGCGCTCTCACATAGCCCACTCGCTCATCTATATTAACACAACAAAATCTCGATCAGACTCTTGCGGCAAGATGTCGAACCTCATGTGGCCCGTACACGACCAGGTCCTCGAAGGAAGCTGGGAAATAGCGCGCGAGATATTATCGCGAGTTGACTCTATCCACCAGCGTCTTAATCGAAGCCTCCAGTACAGTAATGATCGCGAAGAGCGAGCCAGCATCAGAGACAAACGGAGGACTCTTCGCACGTATGCTGTTCTATGTGAGCGGACATGGGAGCTCTACGAGTGGGCCCGCAATGACGAAGGAAAAGCCGCGCGACCAGAACATCCCTGGGATACTGAGCCAGCAGCGCAGTCGAAATATGCAGAGGCGCTGGGACTAACGAAGGACGAACAGCCTATATCCCCGATGAGGGGCGTGATAGAGCTACATCAGAAGTTGCAGGAAGCGTTTGAGACCGGTGCGGAATTATTTTATTAGAACTTGCGCGCTTATGGAGCACACACAATGTTACGTAGGAACAAGAACTGTCATATCTCCTTAAGCCTCTCCAACAACCCCTCAACCATAGCATCCAACTTCTGAACCACATCCCAAGGCGCCTCTCCCTCTCCCGCACTAACACCCATAGCCTCACCATACACATTCCCCCAAGCGGGATACCGTAGCATCGGACTCCTTGGATGCCAGTCTTTCCTCCATCGTCGCTCTTCCCTCTCCAGTGTATTGATCCGCGCTAACAACTGATGCACTTCCACTAATGTGGGAATGTGCGCAGCGCGACCGATGGTGTATTGTTTTGAGGGGGGTGTAGCGGCTTCGGCGGCTCGCCATCGGGCTTCTATGTCGAGAGCCATTCGGTGGAGGTTCGAGGCGCGGGCTGAGACGGAGTAGAGGAGGTAGTCGTGTTTAGCCCATGCGGCTTCGTCGTAGGGGATGTTTGGTGGGGGCGGGCTGAGGTAGTGCTTTACGGTCGGACGAGGCGCTGATGCTGAGGAGCGTGGCGTCTCTGTGAGGGATCTGGGAGTTTGCGAGGACGAGTGTGATGTATAGGTTGCGGGGTAGGGTGCACCATCGGACGCGCGTGGTGTGCCGGTGGCAGAGTATGGTGCTCTGTCCGAAGAGCGTGGCGTTTGAACGGAGTCCGATGGTGGCAGTTCCGAGTAGCGAGAGCCGTAGAACGATTCTTTTCGCGCTGGGGTCGAGTAGTGAGAGGGTTGGTATGAGGTCTGTGGACTGTTCTTCGGTGATTCAGCTGAGCGATGAGCAGCAATCTTGGATGAGAACTTGCGCAACATGCTCTTGAGGTTGATTCAGTGATTAGTTGACGATGGAAGTCCTTCCTTGTAGAGGGTATTGCGGATATACTGACGTTGATGAGCCTGTCAGAAAGGTGACATTCACCATATTCGCGATTGACTGTGTAAGATCATCATGCTATTCCTGGTTGTCGCATATCTGCAGTGAATCGAGTGACTTGAAGATGGGAATGTGAAGCGAAGGCTCAACGTATCGACGGCAAAGTAAAACATTACATGTAGTCTCATCACCAGACCTGGCGGGATGCCAAAAGCCATTTCACTTCACTTCAACTAGGAACACCCTCGTACTCCCAACCATCGACTAACCTTCTCTTCCTTCCCCTCTTGTTCTCTCTTCGGTTCGCTGCGCACTTGATAAAAAAGGTAAGTACAGCCAGCAGGAAGATAATTACAGCCGCGACCGTCGGCACAACGACGATACGCGTACGATTCGTGTCAGTGGTAGGAAGATATGGACATGTCGCATTGAGTCCAATGACCCAGCAATCCGGCACACTCAGACTGTTCATGTTGATGTACAGCACATCTTCATCAGGAACGGCAGCTTGCCAGGCAGAATAGAGATGTGCATTCTCCAGCGCGGTGTGGGGTACGCTGAATCGATACGGGTCCCGACAATAGCCCTCAGCGTTCGCGTAGTAGGTTGAGTCGTCCGATATACGCCAATTGTATGGTTGTCGTGGATCGTGGCAGGCCACGCGGTGGCGTTGGTTGCAGTCTTCTATGCGCCAGCGCTGTGGATATGGCGACTTCATCATGACGACGCAGCGGTTGTCGTTTGTGTCGTCGCCTTCTCCGGAGGAATTGAGAGGTTGTCCCGGAGCAAACGTCCATAGTGTTGAGTGTACGTATGCGGCGTAGGGTAAGGGGTTCTTGTCTGCAGTTGCGTTTCCGAGGGTTTGGTTGAGGAAGGGTGTGATGCCGCAGGCGGTAAGATTGGTAACGGAAGGTATGGTTGACTGAAAGTCGGGCGTCGCGCTAATATCAAGTGATGGTGCATCAGCGAGAGCCCAAGACGAGTTTCTTGTCGAAGTCAAGGTGTTGTCGGAAGATGCAAACAAGCATCCGGAAGTTACACGCCCATCGGAGCCAAGCGATACTGACTGCTCGTCGATGATGGTTCCGGGAGGGAAGACGTATTGGAGATCTGTTCCAATGTTGTACTTCTCCATCTGCGGATCGATTGTACCGTAACTAACGACGACCCGACGTAGCTGCTTGAACTCCATGAAAGCTTCTGTGGGCCATCCACTTTGTGTGAACAGCTGTCCATCGGCGTTTTTGGAGTCCTCGTAATAGCCAGTCAATGGGCGGTTAGACCAGTCGACGTCATACCACGAACTATTCAAGTTTGCGCGTTGGTCACCCAAGGCGTTTGGCGTAAGCGTGTTATCAGAAAGATTACCCTGCAACACGTCGCTAAGGAGTTGCCCATCTTCGGGAAGCTGGTCTTGCGCAAGGCTCGGTGCTGGGGCGTCCGGATCAGTGATGGACGAGGCAGCATGCACGTTGAATGTGAACATGGTTATCTCAGCATCAGTCGTAGTAGCTGTAATTTCGAGAAAGTCCTCTAGGATACCCGTGAGCAAATTCAGCGTCATCAGAGATGTACAATTGTAGCTCCCGATTTGCAGGAGTGGTGGTCCATTGGGGGTGGGGAAGTCGACTATGGTCGGCGTGGCTGCACTCGTCGACGATGTAGAAGACGGAGATGGTGTAGATGATACCGCGTTCGTTGAGCCTGGTGATGACTCTGCAGACGCAGGAGCCGAACTCAATGTCTCCTGGCGCTTCCCAAGCTGTGGAGGGATTTCCAGTGTAGATATAGGAGTATCCGCACTCAATCTGTTAGTTGTAGGCACCACTGTCGGTCCGGTCGCGACTGGTAAAGCACCCTCATCTGAGCTGTCTTCATTCGACTGTGGTAACTCCACTGGACACAGACTCCATACTGAACGTAGCGGGTCCCAGTAAGCATCGACTGTGAATTGGCGAAAGCCGACAGCTAACAAGTTTGAGAAGCACTTTTGGAAAGCATTGTGTTCGTACTGGTTATTCGTGAAGCAGGCTTGAGCTAACGATACAGCTGGCGTAGTATGGAAGTTGATAGGAAGTTGAAGCCCTACATCTCGTTGTGCCTACCATCAGTCAGCGATTCTGTTCGCTGATACTGCGTACGTCAATCATAAGTGGACGGGTCTGGAGTGGTGCCACGAAGACCGCGCATGGACGTGTGATGGAACACAACTCCAACACCGTGCGACTACTTCACTGATGACTGCACGAAGTACAGGCAGCTGACACTTACTCTAAACGCCTCACTCCAGGGCTCTATCCAACGCGTGTTTACAGCGCTCTGATCCGGGTTATACAACTTGTTAGCCGACATTCCCGCTGGCGAACCCGAGCACCAGCACGACAACCACGTGGCTCACACCTCGCGTGCAACGGAAGGGGTGAACGACAACCGTAAGCAGGGGACGCGATAAGATATGTTTAGAAACAGGATACAACGTGGAGTGTTCGTATATGCAGATGCAGGTGTTGATGGGTAGGATGTCGTTGGGATCTGCAGGGCTGGATGCGCGACCGCGACGGACCAACGGCATCACGTGGCAGCCCGCTAGTTTTCCCACCAATCCCCTTCCGGCTAAAACTCGGGCTGGCCAATGATGACGATTCGCATCGTCAAAACTCACCGTTCAAAACACCATGACTGCAATTTGCCAGCGACGATTCCAGCAAAACGTCCGGTGGCTTGCATCATGATTAAGCACCGGGTCGTGTGCAGAACGAGTGGGGGATATGGGGTATCACTGTTTACCCTTGATATAGTCCAGGTGTTCCGCATATTGTTCCCGAAGTTTGGAGTATGTTGAGTACAAGCCTCGCACATACGCTTAATACGGGCGTTATAGCTAGGCTTACACAATACCGAGCCCGCGTTGCTGGCAACTCGCTACCTACCGCCTGTAAGCGAGAGCTCGTGTCTCACTGTTCTGTACGACCTTGATCGACGTCCGAGAAAATGTTGAAAGAGCTTGCCGGCTGGATGATATGCAGGTCTGCGGCGCGAGGGAAAGCGGACAATGCGTTGGGAGCGCATGGAAGGTTGCGAAAAGCTTGCTCTCGGTCACTGGGAGTAATGCAGGTATGCGGCGCACGCTGACGCTTACAGCACGGATTGCCACGAGTACATTAAACGGGAGAAAAAGGGCCGCTGCAGGAGATGATGAGGTACTGCTATTACGACCCAGTTTTACACGGGATGTCTCCTGGCTGCGGATGCAACGTTGCTGTTGTGGTAAAAGGTCCGCTAGCTGTAGGCGATCGAAGCAACGTTGCCCACGGTAAAGCCGAGAGAGTCGGAGCGGTGACTCCGGAAAATTTCTGCACTGTGGTAAATGAGTTGAACGAATAAACGAATAGAAGGCTCCAGGCATGGGGGTCTTGGAGGATGGTAACGCAAGCCGCCGATGCGGCAGCTGCACTTCTGCCTCCTGACAGGATGGGGAAACAAGTTGCAAGCAAGTCTGAGATAGCGACACATGCGATCTCTCTGTTTGGTATAGCAAGATGGTATCGTTGCATCAAGACGCCTCCATTTGGAAAGTGCGTACACTGCCACAGGAGGCGGCGGCCATTCCGCAGTGTCAACACATTCGTTCGCGGTCGCCGAAGCCGAAACCGAAGTGAGCCCCAGTATCGGCAAAACCAGAAACCACGGCTCCAGATGTTGCAACAGTTCCGCACGTCCGCGGGGAAATCCACAGTTGTTTGACGTCTAACGTCTTCACTGCGTATGCACACAAGCAAACGAAGTTTCGCCTGGACCCAGTGACTCCACACGACTGTTGACGCAACCGCTTCCCGTGCGCGTTTCACCGAGGCCATCACATGGTAACCGAGCGTGCCGAGCAGCTCGAAGTCTGGTTACGAGGGTCTTGGTCTGACACCCGTCTGACTGACTCTGACAGTCCTGCATACCCCTACATATGTAGTGCAGTTGTGAAAGCGACGTGTTTCGTGCATAACTACTACCTCAAAGCTGGACATGCGATCCTGGACAAAGGAAAAAGGTTTCACCATCTAAGCTGCATGCACATGTCATAAGTTCGACCGGTTGGTAGCCTCGCCACGAGCCACAGACTGGAGGCGGAGAAAGTCCGGCAAGATCTACGCTAGAGGACGACGTTGTGATGCTTGTGCAGATCGAAGGGATCACGACATTCACACGCAGGAACCCACCGTCAGAATGGCCTCATCGAGTCCCCTGATAATGTTGCTCGTAAAAGGAAACATGCTCAAGACCGAGTTACGCCGGACTATCGTAACCGTACCGTTCAACGTTCAACGGTAAATGGGGATGTGCATGCGTCTACTCGCCCCCGAACATATGCGAATGCGATGTCCCACAATACCGCCGTCCCTGGTACCGATGAAGTCGCATTGTGACATGTATGGGCCTGAACCAAAGCCGATGGATCGCGGATCCGAGGGACTGGAAACTGAAATACTCCCTCTCAAGGACGGCGACCTTCCACCAACGGCTCAACGACGGCGTATTCATTAGCATCACAGGGAAGGGCGGTAGACTATGGGATTGAACGGCGACATCCTCTCGACGGCGCCCACCCGGTACCAAAGTTCAACAGACGCTATCGATTAGACCTTGTGTGTCCGCATTAGGGTACCAGAGTTTGAGCTATGCCATATGCACAAGATGCCCGTGTCTTTCCAACGCTCCTTGCACCATTGCGGACATGGAGATATACGCTAGTCGCAAATCTCGCGAGCCGTCGCGCACTAGAGCGTAGATCAAAGTCTAATAGCCGTAAGCGGTAAGGCCACCAGTAGCCGCATGATCGAAGTCCCAGTGTCTTGTTTTCAGTGTTTTTCTAGTCGCCGACCCTGAGTGTAATGGGATTGGCCGATTGGAACGTTGACGTGGACGGCTCAACGATCATACCGGGGACGTTGGATCGTGAACTGCAAAAGATGCGATTCGCTCGGATGCGCGGTGGTAGAGGGCCAGAGCGACCGTACCGCACCGGGCGGGATTGAGTGTATGATTCGTGAACACAGCTAGAGCGAGGAGATCATGGTGGGTGTATCTGTGCGTACAAACTGGAGGTGCGTGGACAGTTCGTAATTTCCACAGCTGCAAAGTAAGTGTGGCATGGGGAAGTCTTCCGAAACTATTGACTGCGTCACGGATTGTTATCGTGGTATACGTCTATCCCAGGGAGTCCCTGGAGACGTGTTTCCAGAAGTGCCGAAGCACATCTTCATGTCGCAGGTATCACGGGTGACAGATTCTCGCTCAGCGGTCCAGTGCCCCACCTCGGCCACTATTGGTGGCAGTGTTAAGAAAAGGAGCGACCAATCAGTCATTTTAGAAGAAGTTATTGTTCGTCAGCTGTGTGGGTCCAGTCCAATAAGGAGACGGTGTAGGCGACACTGCAGAAGCTGCGACGGGTACGACTGCGTGGACTGATCGGGATCGCGGCGAGATCGCTCCATGCGTACGTTGAGGTGTGGAGAGGGGTTTTCAGCGTGGTGGGTATCGCGGACGATTGTGAGTATCTGTCACGAGTGGGTACCGCAGGCTGTCGAGATGTCATTGGAGCGGTGAGCTCTCGCCTTCAAGCGTTTAGAAACCTGGAACTTAGTGTTCGGCGATCGTTGTTCAGTGTGGGAACTCCTTGTTGTACCCCGTCAGGCGTTCAAGCGAGGGAACTTGGTACTGGGAGTCACTAAGGGATCGTGTGATGATTGAAGTTTGTTCACAAGGTCATGATTTGTTATAGTATGTGTTGTATTTGATTGGCATCGGTGTAGACGCTTGCGGGTGCTGTGGCACCGCTGGGTATTATTACTGGCGACTAATTGTCGCAGTGTACAGTAAGACCTCACTGGGGCCAAATGGAGAAACGCCGTAGTGTCGGACTTCGACATAGGCGATGCTGCTTGGCTCGGGCAAGCCAGAATAGAAACAGAATAATGTGCCTCTCAACCGTGACACATGAACAGAGATGCTACATGGGGTATCCTGAGAGTCGTGTACAATGTTTCCCTTTTTAGGTCCATGCAAAACAAGAGTAGACAAGGTTGAAAAGCTTTGTAACAAGCAAAGTGTCGATCATTGAACATCGGCCATTAATAGAAGTAGGTTGTTTGAAACATGCGACGTATAGACAAGAAGGGGTATGGTGAACAACGTGAAACATGATAGACAGCTACATGATGTTTCGCAGCGACATCCTGTCCTTTGGTGAGACTGGCGCACTTCTGGCCTCTGTTGGAACAGAGGGCAGCACGTAGGGTGACGGTAGTTGTCGCGCAGCTGGACTAGTACTCGCGCTTGAGGACTGAGGGACCGAGAGTGTCGGCTCTGCGAGTGAATGGAAAGGAGGCAACGCTCGTTGGGGCACACTGGTCGGCGCAGACTGAGGCATCGAGTGGTGGTGTGTGAGCTGAGGAGTAGGCTGAGTGAGCAGTCGCGGTGGTTGTGGTCGCTCGTAGTTGGGCTCTCGGAAGGCAGGCGCAGGCTTGGGTGCGGAGGCTTCACTGCGGTGGAGCGGCGGGAGTTGTAGTGAGCCACGTCGCCTGTGCAGGTCGTATGACGAGTCGTCTTCGGGCGCAAAGCCAGTGGTAGGCAAGTAGCGAGTGGAGGAGCTCTTGCGCTCTTCCCTGCTGCCAACTAATGGAGCAAGTGTGATGTCGAGAGGGGAAGCTGCGCCACGAGGAGAGCGCGACTCTGAGCCGGTGTCGGTGATGAGGGAAGGAGCGCCATCAGCAGATACGATAGAGTAGCCAGAAGGCGAAGGCATGGGTGTCTCGAATCCTCGTGCTCGTGCTGTGGCGGATGCTCCGTAGGCTGAGATGTCAAGAGGCTGCGGGCGCGATCCGGGGTATGGCTCGAAACGCTGGGGTTGGGGCAGCTTGAG